ATTATTGTTATTTCATGTATATATGTATAACATACGTCTTGTATATAAAAGTGCATTGATGCAGTTGAAGTAATATTGAAGACATCATATAATAATGTGGTGGATGCATTTTAATTATGATATCAATAACGGTGATAAGTGTAATGTTTTAATGTGTATAACTATTTATTTATTATTTGTTCAATTATGTGACAGGGTGAATATTGGTATTGAAAATAAACTTGTGCCTTCTTGGTCACAACTCCAAGCAGGCGTTGGTCTTCCTTGTGAGATTTGCACCACCCTAACCGGATACATATCAGCGCTGAATAATGAAGTAACGAGATGAATCGGGAAGAAACCATCCAATACGATTAAAATGAAATATGTGACTTCCAAATCTTCAGCACCGAGGACAGGCAAAGAACAAAACAATTCCGGATAGAGTAAGCGTAAGATATTTATACCAGCCCGGTGAACTCAAAGGAGGCCAACGTCGTGCAACCGATCCGATTTGGTCCCTTAAGATATAAAACATTAGTTGGTTATGAAAGAAGGAGAGCCTATTCTTTATTATCTTAAAGATGGACAGGGCATGGCATTTGTACGAGAAGAGTTGCTCATAGTTCCCAACGATACAGTATTACCACCATAACCATAACCATATGCGTAGGTAGTTACACTATCCTTATCAATCCATCTCTTTGTATCTAAGGGGGATAATGATGTCTTGTTCCATATCTTAATCCATATATCCTGTGATCTGCACTTCTTAAAGCGTTCATCTCATGTTTCAATGTTCTACCATTGAATAATGCTTCTTTATACTGTTCGTGTTTGATATGCTGTTTTACCACATACTTCTTAACACCCTCAGCTTTTCTTATCTCCCCACTATCAGACTTCTTTAAAGAATACATCTTAGGTCTTAATCCAACATACACTGCTATAGGGGTCCCAGCACATTCATCCTTCATCTTACCTAACACCTTTTTATTTACCACGCCGTGCAGTGGATTATCTTTTTGGTAATCGCTCGTGTCGTACATGTATATTTTTTCTGCCATATCTTTATATATATCCTCGGTTTGTATTTTCCATCAACAAAGAAACTGTATTAGTATATAACACCTCCCACCTATCGCCGTATTGCTTCTTAAGTTCGTTGTAATAAAAGTCATACATTAAGTGTTTTGACAAGTCAAGAACACTCATACCAACGTACCCCGGTCTGTTGAATTTTATATTACTCTTCTGCATATGTAGTGTGGCTAAGTCGTTATCGAATATCTTGCTTCTGTTAAAAGCCGGACTGGCTATAAGTTTCCTGAGTCTTTCTTCCTCATTAGATCTGACTAATTAAATATCAATACGCTTCCTTAGATTCTCCATAGGTTTTCCTAATACTGAGCTTATTTTGGTCCTTTTCGAAATCGCTGGTAGCCATCTTTCTTAAATTTGTGTACAGTCTTATATATGTTTCCATACAAGGGCTTTGATCGAAATTTAGAACTCTGTGTATTTTCTTTAGTTTCATACCTAACAATAGATATAACTTGAGATTTCTGTAGTGTACTATAGATTTTGTCTTATCCATAAAATTTGGTACGAGTTTTTCTACGTTAGCTAACCTAGTATTGCCCATCAAGGAGTGTTGATATTCCGACATCCAGACTTTGTTAACCATTAATCTTTCGGGAGCTAGCGGATAACTGTTATGATCTTTGTGTAACTCTGTTTGATATTCCAAGTCAACTTCTAGTATGTACCCTTTATCAGAATCTGTGGGGATATCATTCACATCGATCCACTCAAAACAACCCGTAGGTAAAGGTTGAATCATAGCCCATTGGTACAAATTGTTGGCGTCGAGATATAATATGTTCGTATCGGGTTTACTCGGATCATATCCTTCCACTAATTTATTATTAGCCTCAAAATACCTTTTTTGCCATCATCGATATACCACCTCTTAATCCTTTCTCAACAAACAAGTGCATATCGTAATCGGTGAGTAGTTTTAGTTCTACACCGGTCTTCTTCAACAATGCATCCCACAATAGTCCGGGGCTGGAATAGTACCATGCCGGGTCCAAGATGTATTGTTTTAAACATGTCTTTCTAAATATCTCGAATATATCAGCGAAAAACAGTACATCGGTTTTTAAGTACAGATCGTGATAATCACCTAAATTCTTACGACCTAATTTATCCCACGCCGTCAGTGCATGTTTATAATCAGCATCGGTTGTTTTAGATTCTGTTAAGTTTATAGAATGATTCAAGAGGTGGTAATTTAGTTTCATCGAATCTAGACCAATCATCCATATATTCGTAAGGATGTACACCTTTTCTCAGCAACAAATGCTATGTTAACTGATCAGTATATTGTTATTTTGTTATTGCAAAGTCATCGGGATTGTTCCCATTAGCTAAATTGTCCAGGGAAGATAACAGAAACTGTACAGAGTCCGTGAATCTAAGCCCATTACTTTGCTTTATTCTAGATTTGTCCGTATAATGTATAGTTTTAGTCAACGAGAATGATATGTATTTTTCCATTTTATTAGGAATGGACGTTAAACCGCCGTCAGTCTTTGAGATTGCATAATGAGATGATAAGGGTATGAAACACAACGGGGAGGGGTATTGCTTGAGAATTCATTCTTAGTTTCAAATTACACTCGTTATGCGCGGCTCCCCGATAATTACCCTTGACATGACAATGATCTCTTATGGAATCCCCATTCAGGGGTTTATTACAAACATGACAAATCATTGACTTCTTATCGTATCAGATTCGGTTATAACTTCTTGACTGCTCCAGATTGGGTTTGGTTTATTCAGAGTCATTTTTTCTCAATGACATCCATGTTGGAATTAATATCCATCTTCCAACCTCTTAGATGTTTACCAACGCCGTCTGTGGGCACAAACCTTAACTCAACGGGTTGATTATTTTTATCATCTGGTTGATTTTTATCAACATTCAGTAAAGTGATCAATTCAGCTTTTCTAATTCGAGAATAACCTCTCAGCCCAATTTTTTTTCTTTTGAGCTGTGAGTTCTCTAACAGTCTGGGGTTTGTTGTATTCCAACCCGAGTAAATCAATCAATTCAGCTTTTCTTATTCGAGAATAACCATGTAGACCACGTTGTTTTGCCAAAGCCTTCAACTCTCTGACAAAAACCATTGTGGTTTAATGGTATATACAAAATGAGTCAAATGACTAAATGGTTATATTTCTATATATCTTATTCTCCCCAACCTCTTCCTCTCATTGATGTAATCTCTGTTTACTAGCATAAATAATAAGCTTCCTGACACTATCAGCACCATGTTTCTTACATAGACAATAACGACCTTTGACTCCTATCCCACATACAGAACACGTATAATTTGCATTTCCTTGTCTGATGTAAAAAGCATGAGTTCCGCAATATATACCCATGCAACGTAGGTTGCATTGAATTGGCTTCCCCATGAGTGTAAATCTGCAGATTCATGGTTATACACCTATCATATCATTTGCCTTAAAGGCAAACCACACATAGAGTCTCTCAACCAGTCAGCGTTATTTATAGCTTAGTCTGTCAGCGCGACATAGATCATAGCTTATGCATAATAACGTAGCTAAATATGGACACACCAGTCAACCCCAAAACTATAAACGTTATCTCATGGTCTTTCTATAAAACTGAGAGAGTGTTGGCCTCGGGATTGGGTCAAGTGTCCATAAACAAGGAAGTATTCGTGCATGGCAGATTCAACATCCTTAAATGTTTGAATTGAATGTCCTTGTTTACGCAGTTCATCATTAATAAAATCTAATCTCAACATCCTCTGTCTGGCCAATGGTGACTGGGCTGCTTCGAGTTGTTCTAATGCTTTATTATGTTTTTTCTGCTCCTCTCCTCTCATACTTGAAAATAAAAAATTACTCCCTGAAAAAGCTAGAGCATTAACAATAGTCCCACCAACCATCATTGCAATTGATGCCATGATATGTTTATATGTTTATGAAATATTCAAATGTTTAATTACTTCATTATGTCTTCTGGGATAAGCGCTTGTTTGATTAGCATATCTTTTGTTGCCATTAATTTCTTCGTCGGTCATATTATCAATTTTTGCAGTGGTTTAATTTCCCCCCAAATATTGGGAACATTTTCCACCAGCTACCACAGCCGTGAGTCTTTCTTTATGTTTATCTGTATGTTGATCAGGCTCATCTTTGAGCATTTGTTCGATAAGTTCATCGCATTCCATAATGTAATACCTAAGGATATATTTAAGTCTAGCATAATGAAATATTGCATATCCAATACAGCCAAAAATAATGCACTGTGGTAAATGAATGAGGATTTCAAACCACATTATTACATGATAACCTTTATGTTTAATTTATTGTATTTTTGCTATATTTTGCTCAGCAGTTGCTATATTTTTGCTATTTTTGTTTTAATTTTGCTCAGCAGTTGCTATATTTTTGCTATAATTTTGCTCAACAGTTGCTATTTTTGATAAGCAATTGAATAAGCAGCTTGTTGATCGGTTTTTAATACGAGTTTACGGTACTTCGTTTTCGCTAACAGTTTTCTGACTTTATCCCATTCAAGCTTGGTAGAAATAACATCATTTTCGCGTAGACATTCCTCAAATGAATCTCGGTCTTTGCAATGATACAGGGTGACCAATTTGGTTTGCTCTCTGACCCGGTTATGCTTACCCTTTTCGCGAATATCTGGTGCCATCTTTCATTGAAACATTTATATTTTTTTCCCTTTTATGCAAGCTCCGACCTTCACGCTATTTGGCCCTCAGTCTATGAAGGTTCTTACTCCAATGAACGCACACAAAGTGAATGTCAATTTTTAAATGCATAACCTTCTTGTTATACTATCTACATATGTTTTATTGTGTTGCGATATTCATTGTGTATCATTGCGGGAAAATGTATAGTTGAAACCAATCTCAGGCTTACCACATTAGAAAATATTTCGACAATTCTTTTTGCAGCACAATGAATAACGAATGCCCTGCCGTCTTTAATGACCAGTACACAAGCTCTGTTGGCGCCATCGTCAGGTCGCAAACCGATTACTTTGACGACACAGTGCGTCAGATTATAGGTATTGGTATAATTGTCTGGTTTCATTGTTAAATATTTGCTAGATCTAACATGGATAATGTACTAAATATAACTTGTATAAAGCATAACTTGAGTAATATGTATTTAATTTTTCCAGATATTCGTTAATCCATTTCTCACTTAGTATATAATACACAATTTTAATATCTGCATGCGCGTCCAATATTAATGAACGATTGACGTTTCATTTCTGAAAAAGAAAAGGATTTTATCCATGTTTTATCCAAGTTAGGATTGCTATCCGTGTGCACAGTTGCATTCCGTAGTAGTAAGAGGATCCGCTGATCGAAATGGTCGACCCATGCTTGCCGTAAAAGGCCACTATGCTTGTCGTAAGTGGCAACTGATGGGATCGGGTGGCCAGGCTCGCTGACTTGGTTGATGCATGTCATCGTATCCCAATTGGGTGGAATGATGCTTATGATATCAAGCACAGGATTGTCTGGTTCAGACTCGATTATTTACAGACCGCCGTCATATAGCTAGAATGTTGCTAAGTGCGGCGTTAAACAACACACAAAACAAAGAAAATGGGGGTAAATGATTATATTCCGTTAGGTGTCCTTCACAGTTAAGCTGACATGCTGTGATAGAACTGAAACGTTGTTCATAGCACATGACAAGTTTCAAAGTGAGTCATATGATACATACATGTATGTGGGATTTGAAGGACAGCCTTAATGTTTGAACGACATTTTTCTGGTCACTATTCAAAGAAACTTCAATCATTCCGAGAGGCGAACCGTTTACAGTTGGCGACTATGGGAGTCATGACGGATCTTCATCGAAGGATATTCTCGAACACCTACTAGGTAATTACCTCGACATGATGTGTACGAGTTAGTGAGTATGACTTTACTATCACCTTAGCTATTTTCTAGCAATTGGGTACACACCAGAAAAGAGCTTCACACTGTGCACCTATGTAGGGACTCGAAACCAAACCTTCTGTGTGACGAAGCATCGCTTCAGCCACTGGGGTAACTCGACGCTTGTTATTTTCTGCCTGAATTACATGTTCAGGAAAAAACCCTGCAGTGTTCTGAAATTTTATGTTGTCCCACTGTAGATAAGACACCACTAATTCTGATTTGGAACACAGTCCGAGGTTCCAAATGAAAAGATACGAGGTATTCGATCAACTGATACAATTTACAAAACCAACATCCTTGATTCTATGACATTTATTGGCATAGAAGTTATGTAGAGATATTCTTTATTTACAGAGAGCTCTCAATGGAGATTGATTTTGTAATATAATTAAATATTTTTCTGGAAACACTCACTTCCGTTATTATAGTTGCCCAAATAGTTGTTCTTGGTGACAGTGCTTATTTCAAATTACACGAACCCATAGGACAATACCGGTTATCGGCATCAATTATTATATTCATCGATGTCTACATAGGCTGTCGTTCGATAAGATCCACGTTTTCATATACACGTTTTAGTATAGAATCTGAAGAATCAGAATCACTCGTTGTTCAATGTCATGGTAGAATTGTCATTGATTACAGTGATAAATCAAGAGGTTATTGATTAAAGTATGTACGTCACATATTGTGTCGTTGTATTATTTGTCATTAAAGGCGCCCTCAAGAAGCACCATGGAGAAGACCTCCCTGTCCATATAATCTACGAAGACACCGCCAATAATGACTTCAATGCCTTGGTTAAGAAGGTTTGCTGTAGGTGACTTTTTGAGCAAACTGACGACTGATAATTAATAAAAATATGGGAGTCAAATCGGGCTGAAATTATACCTTTTCTTAACTTAACTTAACTTTAATGATATTTTACACAATTTCCTTGGCTGTCCCAATGCAGGTCGAATGACTTTTGCTTTTTTATTTGTCGATGATGCCCGGCACAGTTCCCCGGCACACTTCCCCAGCACAGTTCCCCAGCACGGTTCCCCAGCACAGTTCTCCAGCACGGTTCCCTAGGACGGTTCCCCAGCACGGTTCCCCAGCACAGTTCCCCAGGACAGTTCCCCGGCACGGTTCCCCAGCACGGTTCCCCAGCACGGTTTCCCGGCACGGTTCCCCAGCACGGTTCCCCAGCACAGTTCCCCAGCACGGTTCCCCAGCACGGTTTCCTGGCACGGTTCCCCAGCACAGTTTTCCAACACAGTTCCCCAGCACAGTTTACCGGCACGGTTTCCCAGCACGGTTCCCCGGCACGGTTCCCCAGCACAGTTCCCCAGCACGGTTTTCCAGCACGGTTCCCCGGCACGGTTCCCCAGCACGGTTCCTCAGGACAGTTCCCCAGCACGGTTTCCCGGCACGGTTTCCCGGCACGGTTCCCCAGCACGGTTCCCCAGCACGGTTCCCCGGCACGGTTCCCCAGCACGGTTTCCCGGCACTGTTCCCCAGCACGGTTCCCCAGCACGGTTCCCCAGCACAGTTTCCCAGCACAGTTCCCCAGCAAGGTTCCCCAGCACAGCTTCCCGGCACGGTTCCCCGGCACGGTTCCCCAGCACGGTTCCCCAGGACAGTTCCCCGGCACGGTTCCCCAGCACGGCTCCCCAGCACGGTTTCCCGGCACGGTTTCCCGGCACGGTTCCCCAGCACGGTTCCCCGGCACGGTTCCCCGGCACGGTTCCCCAGCACGGTTTCCCGGCACTGTTCCCCAGCACGGTTCCCCAGTACAGTTCCCCAGCAAGGTTCCCCTGCACGCTTCCCGGCACGGTTCCCGGCACGGTTCCTGGCACGGTTCCCCAGCACAGTTCCCCAGCACGGTTTTCCAGCACGGTTTTCCAGCACGGTTCCCCGGCACGGTTCCCCAGCACAGTTCCCCAGCACAGTTCCCCAGCACAGTTCCCCAGCACAGTTCCCTAGCACAGTTCCCCAGCACGGTTTCCCTAATGTACTTTGAATTATGTGGAACTTGCGTACTCTTTGAGGGGGGAATAATTTTCGAGTACAGCCACTAAAAATCTCAGTTTGCGAATCTAATCTACAGATTTTAAAACGAAATGTAGATCATTTCAAAACATCAAAAATATTCAAACAATTCAATTTATTTTATTTATTTTAAATACATGAGAACTAATACTATTAAAAAGATCCTTGACAGATGATGATTTGAAATAATTGTCCATTGTGATGTCAAAATCAATACGCTCAAGCAGGACATGCCTGACTATGATTCTCTCATCACAAGGGATACAAAATGAAGGATCCTTTCAATAAATATTCATGTGTATATCTGGAATGGCCAATACGAGTCTGTCGTGGAATAATCTCTTCGAATCTGGACTGACAACACAATAGCTGTAAGCGATAATTGGTTTTTTTGCAAGTAATTTATTTATACCTACTTGGGTGTCCCCTCTATGTGTTTAAGGTAATTGGAGAGAGTCACCTAACCACCAAAAGGTCTTTCTGTCCATGTGCCCCACCAGCTTCTATGAGCAGTGTGTTCCTGACAACACGTTCCACGTGCTCCTCAGTTTTTGGTCTGTTCACTTCCTGCCTAGGTGAGTAAAGCTTTATTCTGCCAAGAATTTGGGAAATACTCGATTCAAATCACTATGACCACTTCGCGTTCGGTTCCAAATTCCAAAAACCTATAAATTAAAAAAACTCACTGTCAGTAAGTATTTCTCCAAGTAAACGGAACCCCGGCTAACACTGGCAGGGATCTATATTGAAACTAGTTTCATGCTGGTGTCATCATATGACAGAACACAGCCAGGCATCTGCTGTGAACCTTATATCACTTTTCAAATTGGTTTTATATATGTTGTCTCGAAATCAAAGTGTATACCTAATTTCAGTATAACCTGTCTTCAAAAACAGCAGCGTTACATGTATACAGTGTTTTCACTCAATACCCTTATACCACTACTGATCGAGGTTTTATGTAGGCAGCGGAATACTCCCAGTGGACCCAAGTGCCAACGTGTCACACTGCAGAATTTCCTCAATATGTAAATGCCTGTTCAACTTGTTCTTAGAACCAAGGACGTCAGCTTCTCACCTTGACTTCCAATGCCAATGTCTCTTTCCGCCATTGCGACAACCAGATGTGGCGTACCGTTATCCTAACGCACCATTTCTCTTTATTAACGTTGTTTTGATTTGTGTCTAATGATTAAATTTACTTTTGATTTTTGATAGCTCTACGCTGCAGTCAGTGATATTCAAACAATGTCACTGTGGCCTGTAAATCATTGAATCAGTACAGGCCACTTCGTTGATAGCATGATAAAGATCCCATGACATCGGGTTGCGACAGTCCATTCCATACCAATTTCATCACTTCCAATTATGGCAGAGGAGACTTAAAGTGAAATAATGCCACATTGTTCAATCCTTGTAATAAGGTATATATCTATTTTAGGCGCACACATGTCTGGCCATTGTTACAATGTGAGAATATAATATGGTAACACACACGAAGGCGTGCTTTGTTTTGCTTTCAGTTCTGTATGGTATAAAGATTCCTTGAATACGTTTCCTGACGGCTCACGTGCTGAATGCGATGCTATGGCGGCTTTGGCGTGCGATGGATGGCAACGATTCCTCCTCATTAGAGCAAAGGAAATCAAAAGTGGTAAAGTAATTTTCATTTTTAGTTAAAAGTTAACTTTTGTATTCAATGCCATTCATACAGCTAAAAATACGCGAGAAAACCCTTACTGATATTCAGAATCATAAATACATAAAAGCAACAAAACCCTTGCCATATTCATTAGAAATATCTGCAATAAGCAGTCGAGTGTACGATTCCGGTGAAATGGTAAGCAGGTGTTTATGAATCCCAATCAAATAGTGATGATACCAGGTGCTCGTGAAAAGGTGAGCATATCCTACCCTCGTCACAAACACATGGAAAGGCAAGTCAGTTGCTCACCGGTACAATCGGCTGGAACATATGGTACAAGTGAAAATATGGAAAAGCCTCGGACATCATTTTTGTCACCCATGCGCTAAATATTGTAATGTCCTTCACATGTCTACTGTAAAAAGATGAAAGATGTTTGGCCATGTATTTTGTCACATTGATCACACAACGTCCGAGCATGAGTCGTATGAGACTCTGTGAAAACTATGTTGAAGGAGCATGCTCAATTGTGCCTAAAAGGTTGTGAAATGTACATAGCAAAAGCTGGAGCTGCTGAAATATCAATATGACTATTAGAAAGTTGAAGTCATCCCTCTTGTCAACATGTTTGAACATTTGTCTTTGTAAAACGTTATAACTACACAATTAAATTTTGCGTGCATCGACATTGATTATCATTTAGGTGGGTGTATGTTGCTGATAGTTCCTGCACAAGATACAGACATGACATATGGTGAAAGCAGAGTTCATTTGCAGAACCTGTGGGTAGCCATGACGACAGTGTGGAGATTGTTAAGGGATCTGCATCAAGTGACAGAGGTACGTACAGTGAAGGTGTCGTCAAAATGTATGTTATTACCATCTGGTAACCTACGCCTGATGATATGTTTTTCTTATAGTAAGTTATGTGAATTTGTGCGCACGATATCCGGATTTCCCTTTGGACGAGATCATTCCGATCATAGTCATATGATCGCGAAACTGACGTCCAAAAGCTCAATGAACGACACATTTTGTAGCTGATATGTCTTTCACGGGGGTATTTGTTTAGTGACAGAATATTTTCTTATTTCACTATTTAACGACTTGTTAAGTTGACAGGGTCATTTTTCAACTGTTGAAAATTGACCCTTGTCTGTTGAAAACTGAGACCTGGTATGTTTTCAACGTTGAATACTGACTCCCGGGTCACTTTTCAACGAGGGTCCATTTTCAATGTCACACCGGCAATCAATTATATTTCTAATCCCCTTGGTTGTGGCACTATATATCTCCCCAATAGAGAGTTTCAGTCATATACTTATCAAACCAAAGGAAAAGCATGTTTGAAAATGAAACCTAGAGGTTTAATTCCAGAGTTTTTAAGCAGTTGCAAAACACTTTTTTAACACTTGCCACTTATTCGCTAAACAATTTTGTGGGAGATTGGACACAAATAACAAATGTTATATTTGGGATAACACTTGGCATTTTGCATTCATGTCACTCTTTCTCTGGCCGTTGTGTAGGATAGTTGTGCTGTGCATCCAAAGACATTGACGGTGCCTACATTTCCTACAGTGTGAGTACGAGGCAGCCAACTACCCCGGCTACTACAGGAATGAGGAGGAACTAAGAGCTCCTTTTCGTGACGACGCCTCCCCGGTTGTCAAGGCTGGACTGCGAATAAGGTCCCTAACACTAACCCACGAAAAAATCCACATCTTGAAGCAGAGGTGTAAAGACATAGAGCAAGAAACAGGTGTGATACCCCTTTTTGCAGGACATGAGTAAACCTTGCAGGGTTGAGACCCTCAGCTGTCGGTATCCATTGGGTGGTGACTGGAATCCCAGAATCCCAATGATTCCTGTAAACAGGGAATATTTTGCGACCGTTTTATTATTGCGAGTTTTGGGAACGAGACTCAATCGCAAAAATTAAAAACGCAAAAATAGGTATTAATAATACATACATACTTTATTCATTGCAACATGTTATCAAATGTTGAAATAATCAACCAGAACCACAAGTTACTCTATAAGTTAAAAACACAAATTAATGCAGAATGGTCACACAATACATCACAAATGACATAATCGGGTACTGGTCAGCTTCATTTTAACCATGTGATAAACGTCTACGCCCTGCGCCACTTTGGACTCGCACTAAAGTGTTCCCCGTTTTACCGCAATGTTAGTTGCAACTTTGAAATTACTTCCAGTGCAGTGTTAATACTAATTCCTAATTATGTCGATTTGTGTTTCTGGCTAATGATATTCTTTTTCTTTTGCCAATATGACCTTTTTAAACAAATTACCACATATAACTCCGACAAAAAAAATGGAACTCATGAAATAAGAGTGAAGGTGTAATGACGAGACATGTATGTAGACCCGTGAAGATCCGGGGTAGAATAGGTCTTCAGCAACCCATGCTTGCCTTAAAAGGCGACTATGCTTGTCGTAAGAGTGAGTGAATTTGGTTTTATGCCGCTTTCAGCAATATTCCAGCAATATCACGGCTTCACACATTGTATCTATGTCGGGAATCGAACCCGGGTCTTCAGCGTGACCAGCGAAGGCTTTAACCACTAGGCCACCCGACCGCCCCGCTTAACGTAAGAGGCGACGACGGGATCGGGGGGTCAGGCTCGCTGACTTGGTTGATGCATGTCATCGTATCCAAATTGCGTGGATCGATGCTCATGATATCAATCAAGCATAATCACCTTTTACGGCAAGCATGGTTTGCTGAAGACTTATTCTACCCCGGATCTTCACGGGTCTGATGAAACTGAAATATTGCTGCAATGCGGAGTAAAACATTCAGTTGCAGACTTTATCAGCGGTTGTATTTGGAGCTTCTCCTTCTGTTTCAGAGGATATGGATGACCTGGAAAGTTCTGTTTCTAAATTCGTCTCAGCAATCCGATCCTGGACGGAATATATGTTCATGCAGGCCCTTTCCAGTAGATCCCCCGACTCCAGGCGGGACGTGGTCAACACATTCTATGACCTGCTGGTTGAACATATTAAGCAGCAAGACATCTCCACCTGTGGATGGGATAACGTTATAGCTTATGTCGTCATCACGAAGAAGTAGAAGAGAAGAAGGTTAATAAAGTATTCTTCTTCCAGAGTTTTGTACATCTTATTAGCTGAATAATTGCAGATAAATCGCAAAATATTAACTATTTATTAACTTATACTGTGAAAAACCTGCACCTTCATACATTTGGCAAGGCCATCTGTACTGTTGTCATGACAATGCTTTTTCAAGTCGGGAAGGAAACAGACATGGGAGGAGAGACATTCTTCATTGTTCATTTTACCGAGTCGACTAACGACAATCAGAGCCTACACCGAGAAAAAGAAATTTAAAAAAATGCAAATACACTTTGCAGGAAATTATTAATTACAATCGTTAGAATATCAAAGATTTTGTATACTATCATGAGATTGAAGATCGCATAATCCTGATTGGATAAAGTGAGATTTCTTCTTTGCTACAGAAAGCTCTTTTAATATATTAAGCCTTTTCAAACACAAAAAACCGTGCGTATGAATGCATCGATAGCCTACTCACCGAACCATAAAAAGACGGCCACCGATCAGCCATAAGAACTGTATAGTGACTTTACTACTGTATCGATATTTCCTCTATTAGACGCGGAGTCTCTCATACAAGCCAGGTCTCTGACACAAGCTGGTAAACTGATCTCGCGAAATTAATAGACGACCGAGCGTCTGATAGAGGAAATACGGTACGTTTAATATCGGATGTCACCCCGACTGCTTTCGATGATGAGGTGACAGCACTTAACTAAGACATATATTTTGCTTACAAATGATGCCGTTTATGAAACTGTTCGGTGGCAAACAGGTAATTTCCTCACTGAAACAAACGACAATGAAAGTTAAATATAACATCATAGAAAAGCGTTTTCAGAAACTATATTCATGTCAAAATGTTGTTTAATGTTTACCAACCTTTTTATGATCGATATTTTATATATCCGTCAAGATCTTTAAGGCAGGAGGGGATCTGAAAGTCCATCACTCTCCTCCCTTGAAAGGCCACGAAAACACGCAAACAAATGCCTCGACGTCACTGTTACCACACTTGATGAAATCTAGTTCAGCGCACGCACAACTAAGCAAAACAGACACGAACCACTGTGTCTAGGCCACAACTGTCACATTTCGGGCGTCGAATGCTGTAAAATCTTAAAACTTGAAACATGAATTCAATTCTTGAGTTGCAAAAATGCTGGCCCGTCTGCAGCCAAAACAAAATGGCTGTTCAGTCATATTCCATTTCCATTGGCAATCACATTGTACGAGCAGGATCATTCCCAGTATTAAATCTACAGGTTAATGTTGAACCACACCACAGATAGCGGTTGTCATCTGGCTTCATTGTAACTTGACTGATGCACGGAGAATGTCAACAACAACATTGGCAGCCATTGACAGTGGAGACGAGTAAAACTGTTGTTATGACTCAATTAACCTGCAAACTTATGCTATTTGCCATTACAGGTATTACTCTAGTAAATGCTGCGGTACATTTGCCGTACATACTCCAATATAACATACATTGCTTTATTCCCCGACTTAGAAACTGTATTAGGATATTATTATCATTATAATAATTGTATGTCATTATCATATATGAATTAATGTATTTTGAATGATATGTCTCGACGCACTTGCTTCAATAAACTCTCTTGTTTCAGGGCTAGTTCCCGATAGCTACTTCCCCATATTGAGGTCTGACAGTAACTTGATTATTAGAACAAGAACTACTCCACACTAGCACCACCACCCCCACAGTTTGACACCATACTGTGCCTGCTGACACCATCCTCCCCAACAGAAGCAACAAAAGCAACACAGTCAGTCTCATCTTACCCAGCAGCAAACCCCAGTAACGACACTGGTACATGTCCCCAAATATACAGGCCAACAGGATGCTAAGTTATCGAAATATCTACAATTCGCACTCCCAATCCTGTAGAATTCTGCCCTTCTACCAAGATGGAGCTGCTAAAGTGTCGTTCAAGGACCTGACTGCGTATACACAGCTGGACACACAAGCGGCCTTTCAGCAATGATTTTGACGTTCATCAGCCTTCGATTGGAGTCATCTCCATATGACGCAGACGGAGCAAGTGAACGTTGAAGACCTCATCACCAGTGTCCAAGCATCTGCGTTACAATACAGCTTACCACAATCTGAGATAGGGCTACTCCCACAGATTAGGCTGTGGGTGTATATGAAGGAGCCATCGACCTTGGATGAGGTTCGTCAAGAGGCCCAACTGGCTGTACAATCGCAGGCCAACACAACGGCCAGCTTGGTCCAACAAATTAAGCAATTGACGACCCTCTGATGTACAATCAATACCAACAATCACAGAAGCAATACCAACCATCATTTGAACAATACCAAGCAAAACAGCAACAGTACCAACCAGAGCAGCAGTGCCAACCACCACAACCACAATAGCAGCCTCTGTAGGAAAAATATCAACCACCACAGGAACAATACCAACTATCACCACAGCAATACCAGCCAACCCCCATAGGAGTATCCAGCCACAGCAACAGTCATGGGCTGCCACTTCCACAACACCTTAGAGGCAGATGTCGCTGATGTGTTTGACTTTTTTCGGTTTCCTCACAATTGTCCTCATAGAAATAGTCTGTAATTATTGCTCACGTACAGGACACAATGCAAAGATATGTATGCGTGCATACTATGCACAATATGGAAAGATTCTGGGACTTGTACCTGATACTCAACATTCTGGCGTCAGTCAAGACTCAGCGTTTGTAGCACTTGTGCCTCCCTTGACCTAGGACACTGTTCATAGTAAGATGCAATAAAATATAAGTGGGAACTACAGCTCTTGTTAACACAGGTGCATCAGTTAGCTGTGTCAGCATGGACTACTTTCACAAAATTGGCACCAAACCCTGTCATTTAGGCGCATGTCACCTCACCGAAATCATAGGTGTAGGTGGAGAAAACAATTCTGTGTTAAGTTCTGTCTCTCTTGGCATTTACATAGGGCACATCTACCTCTCACAAATCTTTCACGTCCTTTATTACTTACATCACTCCCGCAGCTTAGGCACTGACTTCATTGAATTAAACAAAGTTACAGTAGACCTGCCCTCGGGGTGCCTTCACAAGGTCTTGTGTCAGTCTTTCTAGTGTCATAGCGACTGATTTACGACACCCATTGTCTGAAGAACGTTTAATTGCAAAGACTCATCACCCAGGAGCCATGACATCTATATGCCTTGAAACACTTAATTGCTGTTATATGTAAGATGCTAATCCTATTTGTTGATTCCCCATTTTTGTGTACTGAACTAGATGTGCAAGAATGCCACTGATGATTTACTGTTTACATTAATATTTATTACTTACTAAATGTCAGGTGACCTTGGCTATATAAGCTTTGGTCCAGAGAGATTGACAAAAAGAAGAAGAAAGGTCTTACCCTTAGCCTAGCTAGGGTTAGGCAGGGTGCTGCGGGGCACCTAGACAACAACCACTACCACTATGTGCTGACCTGGCATATAGTGTCTTTTGTATGTATATATCTACATGTATAAAGTAAAACTGTATATACCGCAAGCCATCGTCTCCAAGTTGTCACTTCCTACAGGAACCATACGTCGGCCCCTTGCTTATACGAGTATGAAAATTATTCATTAATCAACGTCAGACCGACATGCGTTGTTAATTTGGTGAGTTGTCATAACGACTGATTTACGACACCCATTGTCTGAAGAACATTTAATTGCAAAGGCTCATTACCCAGGAGCCATGACATCTATATGCCTTGAAACACTTAATTGCTGTTATTCATAAGATGCTAATCCTATTTGTTGATCCCCATAAATAAAATTATTATTATTTTATGTCTAAACTTCATAATTCATTGTTATAATTATCTAAATAAATGTCAGAGATAAGTTTGAATCAGTACTGACGTATTATTACACTCAATCTAATATGTACAAGTCCATGCTATTTCTAAATGGCTGCTTAAATGCATCAACCAAGTCAACAAGCCTGACCTCCCGATCCCGTTAGTCGCCTCTTATGACAAGCATTGTCGCCTTTTACGGCAAGCATGGGTTGCTGAAGACCTATTCTACCCCGGATATTGTATGTGCAATTAAATATGGTATGCTGTTATCGTCCATGCCATGGCTATTTCCCTCTTCCACATTCTGAGCCAATGGCGGCCGATATGGAATACATGTAAGAAGCGACACGTTTACTTTTCATTCAGAGAAACATTTATAATCGTAGTTTTGTATATTTGTCCCGACCTTCGATATTTTGAGGAGTCACAGAAACAGCTGATGTCTTACTGATTTGTCCCCTTTAACTGCATGGCTAATCTCGTTCCTTTCGTCGACTTGTATTCCCTCCCAATGTAACTTAGCATCCGTGAGAAATTCTAGATTATCTGTTCCAGATGAACAAATCTTGTCCCGAGCCGCGAGATCGAAACTTTGTAAGTGTGATCGCGATATACGAGTTGGTTATTATAGGAATTACTTGATGATTACACAAATAAACATTAGTTCAGTTAAACTATTCTTTGAATGACCATCTCATAAAATCGCATTTGACCTTTCTAGCAATCGATGTAGTGATCTTCAATAATTTCATTGATTTGCACTAATATGACGTCCACGGAGATGAGGGCTACAGGCAATAGAATAATTGGCATGATTAAATCAATAAATGTGAAACATAAAAATATTTTCTCAGTGTTAAAACTAAATTATATAACCCTGATAATCGGGTCCATCGGTATAACAATAGAGACGACTGTCACGAGACGAGGCTGTTTCTACTTGTATTCAAAACTGTTTTGGAACTGAAGTTAATGATTGAGACCTTGCTGAAATATACAGCCATGATATAACTCTCCCATGAAGCATGAAACTGCCGACATTATATTAATTCCATTGAAACGTTTAGCTACATTTATGAAACCTTTGTGATATCACTGATAGCACTTACAAATTGGATTTACGTGTGGTCATAAGCTGACAAACACAAGAAATAGGTGAGGTGAGGTGAGGTGAGGTGAGGTGAGGTGAGGTGAAACTGGGTTTAACGTCGCGTCCAAGATTATTGCACTTATATAGCGACGTGCATGCACGTGTGTGTGCGTGTGGCTGCTTGTACTAGTCCGGACTGATGCCGATTTATAGTGCTAGCTCACTGAGATACCATGCCGCAGTTTAACATGAATACCCCACTCAGACACAGTATACTGACTCGGAGCCGACCAGTCCTTGTTTTAGCCCCTTAATGCCGAGCGCCAGAAAGGGTAACAACAAGTACTATCTTTGAACGTCTTTTGGTATGACGAGGTCGGGGATCGAATTCCGGACCTTGCGCTCCACGGGCGGACGCTCAACCACCAGACCACGGAGGCGGTCTCCAGAAATAGCTTTCTCTGGTACAAAATGAAAATTGATAAAGAAATATCACGATAGATGACGTTCAGTTACGTTGAGGCGTTGCTGTTCTGTGCCTTAGCGATAAGGAACGTCTTGGCTTAGACTGGTGTTCACGAACAGCAGGTGTGAAAACGGATTTTCAGTGATCATATAGGTTTAACCGTTAGTTTGCATTTTACGCCCAGTGGGGCACAAATAGAAACTGGTCCGTGGGATAAGCGAGACAGGTTATTCTCTGGCGTTGACGTGTTATATTAGATTCCCAATACTGTGAGGGGGCATAGCAATGTTCTATTGCGGACACAAGTAAACAGTTTTCACAGAGGTAGGGTTTTTACACGTTTCACCTCCGGATACAGAACCACCTTCAGTTATCACCTCCGGATACAGAACCACCTTCAGTTATCAACTCCAGATACAGAACCACCTTCAGTTATCACCTTCGGATACAGAACCACCTTCAGTTATCATCTCCAGATACAGAACCACCATCAATTATCACCTCGGATAACAGCCCTGTATTCAACCTTTGACGAACATTTGGCAGAATCTACCCTTGCCATCTTTATAGATCACGTGTGTGACTTCAACTACAATTTCCTCAGTGAAACTTTGTCTATGCACGTGACATACATTGGTGCACAGCACGTGACAAACATGCAACAAAGATCTGATAAATAGCTTGGGCTGGTTATATATTGAATGGCCCTCGTATCCGACGAAGGAGAGCAGTTGAAAAGACCGAGACCTTCTGCAAATGATAATGCTCTAAAAATAGTGTTAGCTTCATTATAGCTCCAACGGATAGCATTTGTAATCAAATTAAATTATACAATATCGGTTTTGAAATATTTACTGCAATTAACGAACAACGAATGTCACTGACCCACGTTTACAAATATGGAAACGACATAGAACAAACAGATGACGTCAGTATTGAACGTCATATGACGTCAACTAACAAATGGCGTGGAAATGGCCCGTCGTTAAGCAATATGAGGGCATTATCAAGTTTTATCATCCCAAACTGGCTCCCACAGGAGATATCGCTTGGGTGAGATCAACCGATTTCTACATTGCAGATGTGGCTGCAAAGAAATTGCATCACAATGCTTTGCGGACCATTGTGATGGCATTGGTTACTATGACGTCACAATCACATGACATCACTAATGGCTCTGCCACTGAAGCTGTTAGCAGTACTGTTTACACTTAAGACACTGCTTATGTCTGCAAACTGAAAAAGTTGGAATAAATGATGTTGGATGATGAATACAATCTCACGCTCGTGTCATTTGACATCATAGAATTTTCTGTTGACTGTTGACAATGTCACAATGCAAATTTTCCAAGTCTTTTGATAATACAGAAACATATATGCGAACTTTGTACACCTATAACTAGTAACATAAAATAGTGAAGAACACGCTCCGTTTCTTGTCTGTGGACTGACTGAATCTGACAAATATTGTCTGACAACTAAGAGTCAAATAACCAACATGGATGCCTAAAGGTATTTTTCAGAAAGATTTGTTTGTTTGTTGTTAACGCCGCACTCAGCAATATTATATTTTTATTGTATCTTATAAATGATGTCTGGATCGAGTTATCGCCCTTGATGAATTGTTTGTTTATTATAGGGTTAAGATAATGATTTTGTATATCATTGATTATTAAGTTCTATTCATGTGCAGAATAAAGACGTATGTTTATATGAAATGAATGGTGGCTTTGTATTGTATGAATATGTATGTGTATGAAACCTATGTACCATTGTTTTTATAACGTTATTGTTTTGTACATTACAGGATGTCATTATCTACTCGGGCAATAAACACTCACACCGAGAATCTGTACTTTACTAAGAAAGTGTTATCCCAAATATAACATTTGTTACATATGACCACTTTCTAAATGGCATTGTGTTTTCATAGCTTTCGGCCATGGGAGCCGTGCCAATTTATATTTGTCAGAGGGGTACTCAAAGTACGCGATCTAGACTACCAGTTGTCGGACTTTCATTTTTGTGGAAGCCTCGGTGGTTGAGTGGGTTAGATCGCTGACTTTGTGTGCTGGCGATTAGGTGCCTTACTCTGACAAGTGTGGGTTCGAATCCAGGACGGGAATCAACCCAAAAAAGTACGAGAATCTGTACCTTACTAACAAAGTGTTATCCCAAATATAACATTTGTTACGTGTATAATATTGCCTCATGGAGAAACTCACTGGCTTGTGGTTATTTCTGTAACTGACAGTGTAGCCGCGAATAGCTGTGTTACAACCCTTAATGTAAAAATTACTCTTAATGTGAAAATGTTTACATTCAGTGTTGCGGGTTAACTCTTGTTAAAACCCTTAATGTAAAAAGGACTCTTAATGTAACATAGCTGCAATACTGCTGATGCGGCTTTATGCAATATTACTCACTCACTCACGGAGTGCCAAGTGTCAAGTACACTATCGTATCTTCCTTTCATGTGCAACGTTGTGAACATTTGCATTAATGCGGAATATATAAATGTTAACAGAGTGAGTGAGTGAGGTGGGTTTAACGCCGCTATTTACAGTATTCCAGTTATATCACAGCGTGCACGTGTCAGCTTAATGTGGGAGGAAAGCCCGAAGTGATGCAGGTCTCAAACGTTTATCGCTTCGGAGAAACCCACGAGCACGGGTATTGTGATGACAAACCTAGAAACATAACTGGGGTGAACCGGGATTCGAACCCACAATCATTGGTTTCTGGCGTGCCAAAATGACGCAACTTTGCACAGCGAATTGCGCCGCCTTAGACGACTGGGCCACCCGTGCCCCCACATGTTTACGGAAAGAACATACTAAATGTATTTTCTTCAACTTTTATCAAGAGGTCATTCTCGTAGTTGAAATATAAGGTAAGATAATAAATGTTGAACGGTGTTATAAGTGTGTGAGTTAGTGTGTTTGTTTTAACGGCGCTTGGAATAGTATTCCAATTGTATCACGGAACGTCAGTTTGATGTGAGTGGAAAG